TGAAAATACTTCATTTTCATTACTATGTTGAGTGGAAAAAAGTACCCTCCCAACACTAGAACTTGGTTTGACGAGGATGCTTAATGGTCAGAGAATAACACATTATGTATAAATTAAAGGGTGAGATTGTGTACTTAAATAAATAGTGGTATTACTAAAAAATAGCTCTGATAGTTAAAGTGAACATAATTGGTTTTGCCTTCTGGTCTTTCCACAAATATTTGGGACAATTCAGCGTCTACTCTATGCCCAAGCACTGTGTTGGATCTTAGAGATAAATTGAAAAGACAAGTTTCTTATAGTCTATATACAGTGTTTCATTGAAAAAGTTGGTATATCCTTATTTGATGTCTGAAAAGTGCTTATTCTGTATCTCTCTTTTTGTATCCACAGATTGATAGTCCCTTCATCTTTGACTGGAGTTCTCCCAACTCCGTTACTGACTTCCCTCTCTCCCCTTTATTCATTCAGGTCCTTAGCTGTGTCTAATTCTAGATTGAAGCAGAATCTAAAGTATATCTTATTTATCACTTTCCCTACCTAAACTTTTTGTCCCCCTTAGCAAACTACTTGTCAGTACGATGTGATCTTTCCAGAGATGTTTTTTCCCCCATGAATTTATGTACAAATATATATACACTTCAGGAAAAATATATATAGGTTTTTGGGGTAAATGTAACATTGTAGTAGTGATACTTTTTGTGTTGTGTAACCTTTTTTAGTCAACAGTATATCTTGTAGGTTTTTTCGTGTCAGTAAGATTTACCTGTTAAAATATCCTATCTGTTCACTTTCTCCATCTCCCATCATCACCCTTGTGTCAGTTACTGTCATCTTTCACTTGGACCATTCCAGTGACCATCTAGTTGGCTTCTTTGCTTCCAGTTTTGCCCACTTACAATCTACTTTTCACAAAGCATCCTGAGTGATCTATTTAAAACCTGAGATTATGTCAGCTCTTTGCTGAAAACACAGCGATGTTTCCTTTTACAGTAAAATCCAAACTCTTACCTTGAGAATTAATGCTTTCTAAGGGCAGAGATGTTTACCTGCTTTGATTACTGATTTTTTTTTTTTTTTACAAGGTACTAAAACAGTGTCTTGTGCATACTAGGTGCTCTGTGAATCTTTTGAATATAATTAGTGAATTAACTTGTTGGCTTTGATGGATTGTTCTGTGCTAACTTATTTCATCTCATCCTCCTCTTCCTTTCCTATTTTGTTCCAGCCGCATTGGCTTTAATCTGTTGTTTGAATTGGCCAACCTCATTCCTGCTAGGCTTTGCAGGAGCTGTGTTCTTTGCTTAGAATCTCCTTCCCTCAGTTTCCTCACGGCTCGATCTTTCTTGTCATTTCATATTATTGTAAATGTCACTTGCTCAAAGAGGTGTTCTCTGATCACCAAACTAAAATAGTTATCTCTTTACTCTCTGTCATCATCCCATTTAAAAAA